ATATATGTACGAGGAGGCGCTCACCCTGCCCCGTGAAGACAGGCTTGAATTGCTCGTGCTGCTGCAGCGCGCATGCAATGTGTCTGTGCACCAGTGCTGCTGCTGTCTCGCTGCTGCTGCTCCCCCCAGTCAAAGGAATGCCTCGGTAGGAGCCACCACCAGGCAGCCGCCGGAAAGCCTCCTCAAGCCGAGACACAGACACAGCCTGCAGCAACAGCAGCAGCAACAGCAGCAGCAACAGCAGCAGCAACACCACATGCAGTAGATGCGGTATACGTATGCAAACAACAACAACAAGCTACGCCAACTTCTGCAGCAGCTGCTGCAGCAGCTGCTGCAGCAGCAGCAGCTACAGCTGTAGTCAAAAAGAAACAGCCACGCAGATACACAGCAGCAGCAGCGGGTGCTGCTGCAGCAGCAGACTCAGCAGCAGCAGCAACGCCAGCAGCAACAGCAGCAGCAACAGCAGCAGCAACAGCAGCAAGTGACCTGCTCAAACTCGGAATCTGCATTTGGATAAGGAGGGCAGTTGGCCTCGGGATACAGAGCGTCGGCTTCTTCTGTTGCTGTTGCTGCTGCTGCTGTTGCTGCTGCTGCTGTTGCTGCTGCTGCTGCAGCTGTACCTCCTGCTGCTGCTACGCTCGCTGATAGCTCCATGCCTATCACAGCTGCCTCCGGACTGTCTGCAACAAGAGAAGCAGTTGCTGCATTTGCTGCAGTAGCTGCAGCTGCAGCAGCAGCAACTGTTGCTGCTGCGAACCCACGAAAAAGTCTCATTGCTCTGAACCACTGTTGCTGTTGCTGCTGTTCTTGCTGCTGTTGTTGCTGCTGTTGTTGCTGCTGTTGTTGATGCTGCTGCTGCTGCTGTTGCTGCAGCTTTGGCTGCTAGCGTCGTTGCTTCTTGATGGCTAGCTCCAGTGCTACTCTCTCAACTGTTGCTGCTCACTCCTTCCGTCGTGGCAGCAGCTGCAGCAGCGGCAGCTGCAGCAGCAGCAGATGCAGCAGCTGCAGCAGACGCACTCGGGGCTGCTGTTGATGAAGCCTATAGTGGAGCTGATGCAGGGGGGAAGGAGACAGTCCCTCCTTCTTGTCTGTAAGCGAAGCTCTTACAGAGAGCAGCAACAGCTGCTACCTGCTGCTGCTGCTGCTGCTGCTGCTGCTGGCCTGCAGACGCTGCTGGCTGCGGCGGTGAGCACAAAAAGGAGTTATGCGAGTCTCTCGTTCTGTCCTTGAGGAGTTGATGGATGGTGCTGAATATTATTTAATTATATTTTTTAATTATAAACAACAAGCAGAGGCAGCCACCTGCTGCTGCATCGGAGCAGCACGGGAGATGCTGGGCTTGCTGCTGAGGGCAGCGCAGCAGCTGAAAGCAGAAAAACTTCAACTATTTTTAATTAAATATAATTAAGAATATTTAAAATATATAAGTTTCACGTTTTTAGCTGCCTATACACCCCAGATCTGAGGCTGAGCGCCGCAGCTGGGGTGAGCAGCAGCAGCAGCAGCAGCAACAGCAACAGCAGCAGCAACAGACCCCCCGTTGCTTGTGTGTCTTGGGTTATTTTTCCACTTTCATTTCATTAAAATTATTCTTTTTAATATTTAAAAGGAAATTATTATTTAAAAATAAGAAACGCACGCTGAGGGATGCACGAAGAGGGCTCGATACAACCGATGCCCCCCCTTCTTGGTGTATGAGGATCATGCTGCTAGTTAGTAAATAATATATATATATATATATATATATATATATATATATATATATATATATATATATATATATAT